TTTTTAATTGCACCTTACTCCAACACTTTTTCCAGACTTTTATGCATTTTTAATACTCTGAAGTGATAAATAGTCTGTGTTTTTGTTGTAAATCACAGTCCAAAAACCTGATAACAAACTGCCAGTATTTTTTCCTGTTATTTTACAGACTTAACTCTCTCTATATTATTTCTTAAACAATATCTTGTCTCAAACTACTAGAATGCCAAAAAGTCACTTTTATTGATTTGCAGTCAACATAAAACGTTGACAGAGAAGAGACAAAACTCCCATAATGCAATCCACAACCGTAAATAAACAGAAAACACCATGTGAACGGATCAAATGCACGCCAGCAAAATAAACATTATCAATTTTGATTCCAAGCTAACTTTACCCCTACACTTCTTCCAGACTTTGCTGCATTTTTACAGGGTATATGCAGCAATCCTAAAGAAAATTTCAATATCTTTTAAAGATTTTTTTTAAGACCTAACAAAGCATGAAATAATAAATTATGCGGCTGTTTTCAACAACAGGCTTCAGCCACTGTTTAAACTCGTCTGTCTCCAACCAGGAGTGCTCAAACTTACATTTTCCCATTTTGCCATCTGTTTCTCTCTATGGTTTCGATACATGTGGAGAGCGTCACATCATCTTCCTGCGTTTGTTGCAAATTACATGACATCATCATCACCCTGACACTCTAATTAAATACACCTGATCAAACTAATTGAGTCCTTCAGGCTTGTTTGAAACCTACAGGTAAGTGTGTTGGAGCAGAGTTGGAACTAAACTGTGCAGGGCTTCGGCCCTCCAGGAATTGAGTTTGACACCCCTGATGTAGACGGAGAAACTTGGCCGGACGGGCCCAGCCTGAATCGTTTGGATCGCCCACGCCATTGTTAATAATAGGAGGGAAATAAATATATTTATGCTTTTTTTGGAGTCTTTGGACAACGCTTGAACAAAATTTAAGACCTCGTAAAACACAATTAAGACTTTTTAATACCTTTTAAGGGCCTTCATTTTCTCATGTTTTATCAACTTTTAATACATTTTAAGGCCCTGCAAACATCCTGTTTTAATACTCTGAAGTGATATATAGTCTGTGTTTGAGTGGTAAATTTCAGTACAAAAACCTGGTAACAACTGCCAGTAGTTTGTCTAGTAGTTTAAATCTTTAACATCAAACTATGTTTGTTAAAAAATAAAACTCCCATGATGCAATCCATAACAGTAAATGAACAGAAAACACTATGTGAACCACAAAATATGGAACCTGTTAATTAACACATACTGTACAGTGCATTCAGAAAGTACTCATAGCGCTTCACTTTTTCCACATTTTTTTTATATTACAGCCTTATTCCAAATGAAAGACTAGTCAGGACAGAGGGCAAGACGAATGCAGCAACGTACAGAGACATCCTGAATGAAAACCTGCTTCAAAGTGCTCTTGACCTCAGACTGGGGCGATGGTTCATCTTCCAGCAGGACAATGACCCGAAGCACACCGCCAAAATATCAATGGAGTGGCTTCACAATAACTCGGTGAATGTCCTTGAGTGGCCCAGCCAGAGCGCAGACCTAAATCCTATTGAACATCTCTGGAGAAATCTGAAAATGGCTGTACACCATCACTTCCCATTCAACCTGATAGAGTTTAAGAGGTACTGCAAAGAGGAATGGGCAAAAATTCCCAAAGACCGGTGTGCCAAGCTTGTGGCATCATATTCAAAAAGACTTGAGGCTGTAATTGCTGCCAAATTGCTCTTTTTTTATTTCTATTAAATTTGCAACATTTAAAAAATCTATTTTTTTCACATTGTCATTATGGGGTACTGTGTGAAGATTTTTGAGGAAATAAATTAACTAAATCCATTATTGGAATAAGGCTGTAACATAAAAAATGTGGAAAAAGTGAAGCGCTATGAAGACTTTCCTGATGCATTGTACATTTATACTGCATCAAACTGATTTCATCAGAAAGAAACTGCCATTCCAGAGGGGAAGCACATGGTCAGACAGTCAAAACAGTTTTGTTTTTTCCAGTGGATTAACTTGCACTGATTAATTGTGTGCCAGCAAAATAAACATTGTCAATTTTGACTCCAAGCAGACTTTACACCTCCACTTCCAGACTTTGCAGTGAAACTTCAGCCTGCAACATTGATCTTCACCTTGTAGCCATTGTAAAAACAAGCACTGGTGAAGTGTGAGGTCATTACTGGTCTAATGTAGGGCAATGCAGCTTTGTTACCGTGGTGGAATCCACTCAATGGGATCACAGCATGAAGGACTGATTAGAGTCTAAATCAAGAATGACTCACAGAAGAGGACTGGGCAAATCCAGCAAATAATCGCCTCTGTATCTCTCGGGTGCGAAAATACAGGATTTTGGTGGTGGCAATTCAATTCCCATCTCTTGGCAGAAAACCAATTTGTGGGGTAATAGGGAAGGCCCCGTTTGGCGCTTTCGTAAACGATTGACTAGAATAGCATCCCAGCATCCATGCGAGAGAAAGAGAGTAAGTTGAGCTATACGACTAAATTTTTATTGAATACAGTCTAGCGAGGTGACATAACACCTGACAGGATGCTTTTTAAAGTAAAGCGTTTCTTTGTTTGCGCTGCTACTTTAGAACCGACTGGCAAAAAAAAAGACAGAAAACTGGGAATGAATTCATGAGGTGCAGGAGAAAACATACGCGTCAGAGGCATTTCTGTACCACTGACACATTCATGCATATGCTGAGTGTGAAACCGCTCACCCGTTTGCTCATTCATTACACGCTGAATGCAAACAATGAGAGCGTAAGTGAGCGAATTCATTCACAGGCGTGGATAATGCACTTTATGTGCCACTGCCTGATGAAAATAACGACTTCTATGGCCAGATTTAATAAAAAGGGCAAATTAGTATGCAAATACAATCAATTAAAGGGGCCAATGGGAGTGGAAAATTCTATGAGTGAATTAATGACGGCGCATGAATTTTAATTACAGGAGCTAACTTTCATTTTGTGGAGCATAAACCAGTCAAAATAAAACGGCAAACAAGCAGTGAAGATGACAGAATGCATGTAATCTACAAAAAAACACGGTTAAAGGGATAGTTCACAAAAAAATGACAATTTCCTCACAATTTACACACCCTCAAGTGGTTCTAAACTTTTATGAATTTCTTTTTTTGTTGAACACAAAACGAGATATTCTGAAGAACGTTAGAAACCAGCAGCCATTGACATCTATAGTGGGAATAAAAAAATACTATGATAGTCAGTGAATACATTTACATGGACACCAACGATCTGATTTCAATATAATTAAGACAATACTCTGATTAGGAGTACCATGTAAACAGCTATTTTTGATTAGTTTAATCCAATTAAGGTCATAATCAAACTAAACAGAAAATGACTTACGACGTGGAGTATGCTGATTTTAGTCGCATTATTGAAGTGCAGCACAAACATGTAAACACCTTAATCAAACTATTATCGTCATATAGGATTTTGCGACAAGATATTGTATACACACACGGCATGTTGACACTATTCTCTGCACCAATCGAGTTAGTGAAGGACCACAGACACCTGCATCGCAAACTGCCGAGTTCTTTTTCCCCATACGGCATGCAGTATCATTCCATTTAAAACAATCCCTCTTCCAGCTGTTCATACTCTGATATCTCATTTGTCACGGGGGGATGCATGAAATGTTCCTGAATGAAAGTGAAAGTGCCAAACTGAGAAGCAAATGATTACAATTGTTTTTATTTTTTTATGAACAAACCCTTTAAGTCATGTTGAGGGGCATTAAATAAAGCAGCAAATACCAATAAAGTACTAATAGATTCCTGAAATTATCAGTACATTAGCTTGCATGATTAACATTAAATTCTGAATAGGTAACGGCCACAAAAGGTCTGCCACAAAAAAAGACTGTCCGTGGTTTTTCAGCTCCTCTTTAGTAAATGTTTATATTATTATTATTAATTTGAAAACTGCAAAGCAGATTTTGCTATGATATGATATGAACTGATTGTAAATCTGGCCTCTATTCATATCCAATGATTTTTCCAAAAAACAAAAAAGTACATAAATACTTATATAAATATTAGATAGTGCAGTACATAAATGTTATGGCAAGTCTATGGTAGTTCATTTTTTGAAATTAGTTACATTTTTTCCGAGCAAACGGAGAGGAAAGAATGTGCACTACAGGTGGTTTGTCAAGCCCACTCCCCTGCATAAGACACACTCAGAATTGCACAATGTTTTCCCAGAATCATGATATGTTTATAAAAAAGGTGCATAGGAAGAGGTAAAGAGTTTCACCTACAGGTGGTCTGTCTAATCACCTGCATGAAGCACACTCCGAATTGCACAATGTACTTTACAACACATTCATTTAACATCTATACCAATTTGTGATATGAATAAAGCATTTATGTTGCATTTTAAAAGCATTTATTACAGCTTTGTGTTAGATCTAGAGAACTGAATCATGCTAACAAGTCAAACCCTGATTCCTTTGTTTCAGTCAAACATCTAAATGGACCAAAATCAAAGATATATATTAATAAAAATGGATTTTTTGTTGCCTGTCAGAAAAAAAACCTTGGTTTACCTCCCCGTTATGAAATTAAATTACTTTTTTCAATTTCACACTCTGTCCTTTTTGAGCATCATCACACATTTTCATTTGATCCGCTCTGCACCTTACACGGTTTTCATCAATACCGGTTTGTCAATGGAGAAATTTTGCAGAGCTGCACAAAGGTCAGACGGGCTCCGCAGCCTCGCTCCCCTGGGTCTGTATGGCCTCCGCTAGCAGAAAGGACAGCTAATTGTTAGTGATGTATTAAAGAGTGCGACAGGGCTTTGTTGAGCCAACAGAAATCAATACTGGTAAGCCTCAATCTCGACAGGCCGAGTGTGGCTGTGAAAGGTGACAGGAGTGGAATGGACAGAGCTGTCTGGACGAGCAGAAAAAAAAGGGCCGGTTTCTCTTACCGATCCATTTGTCGTTTCCGTACCAGGACAGGTTGCCTTTTGTGCTGTCATAGTAGCCAATCTTCTTATAGCTGCCACCTGAGAAAAAAAAAGTTAGAAGTGAAATGAAAGACAACCAAAACCTGAACAAAAGAGAGTGAACAACTTTTTCAGCCTCAAACTTGAAACAGAAACACCGTCATCTGTGCTTGAATTATAAGTACACATGTACAATCCAATCAAATAAAAAGCGCTTCAGGGGTAATTGATGTGACAATGATCTTTGGAAAAGACTTAAAAAGTCTTAAGTACAAGGCACTCAAAATACTTTTTTTTTTCTTTTTCACCTACTTTTCAAGTGCTTTGGATGTATAATTTTCTGTGTATAAATAAACATGCACTGTAAAAACAAACACAATTACACACAATTGATTTGTGTTCAAACAGCATGAAGGAATTTTATTATGTTTAACTTATTTGTTTTTACAAGTTGTCCCCCCAAAAAACTGAAGAATTGTGTTGTTTCAGCTCATCTTAAACTAATTGTTTGGATTTTTTGAGTGTGCATTTAAAGATACATGTTCCCTCCTTGATTTATCTGCTTTCACCTATAGACTCTATCTGCTAGTTTCATATCAGTTAACAAGTATGTTTAACATATATATTTAGAAATCTACAAATGTAACATGTACAAACAATTCACACATGTGGCAAAACCCATGTACATCCATTTCACTTAGTATTTTGTCCTGTTTCATGTTTACTGCACTGAATAAGTCTGTGTTATTTGATGTGACACTGTAAAAACTAATATTTATTCATTCATGTTTGAATGCCATATCAGCAGCATTGGCTATATTTATGACACCACTGGTAAGAAATATTCAATACATCATTCAAAAACATAAGTTACTTAATAAAGCAGCATTATAAAAAACACATAACAATACTAATAAACAAAGATGATAAAATATAATTTAGTTATCTCTATCTATCTATCTATCTATCTATCTATCTATCTATCTATCTATCTATCTATCTATCTATCTATCTATCTATCTATCTATCTATCTATCTATCTATCTATATATATATATATATATATATATATATATATATATATATATATATATATATATATATATATATATATATATATCAGGGTTCTACAGGTTTCAATAAGTCAAATGTAAGACTTTTGAAGACTATTTTGAATTACATTTTAAACTTTTTCAGGGCTAAACACAAAGGATTTTTTCTTCTAATGGCCCGGTTGTTGTTGCTTTTGTCATGTTATATAATATAAATTATTTCTTAGACAATAATTTAATTTCTCGAAACAAGAAAACACTAGTTGTACATTTTTTTCAACATAATGCTTTCTTTTATTTTTAAATTGACAAGTCTAACATTGTTAAAAGTATATTTATTATAGACACAATTACACAAATGTTCAAAAATATATATTTGTTTGCTTTTTGACCGATTTGATTGAGTATAACTCTTATATATCAACCTAATGGTTTTCTGTTATAAAACCTTGTCTGTTTATATGTCGCTTTTCCTTACTGTTGTACATATTTTTGTATAACTGGAGGATCATGTAAAGGAAAATATTGCTCTGGGGTCAATAATTCTGACTTCAACCATACATATACAGCATAAAGTGATATTTAAAGGCTTAACTAGGTTAATTAGGTTAACTAGGCAGGTTAGGGTAATTAGGCAAGTTATTGTATAACGATGGTTTGTTCAGTAGACTATCGGGAAAAGATATATAGCTTAAAGTGGCTAATAATTTTGACCTTGAAATGGTGTTTAAAAAATTAAAAACTGCTTTTATTCTAGCTAAACTAAAACAAATAAGACTTTCTCCAGAAGAAAAAAAATATTATCAGACATACTGTGAAAATTTCCTTGCTCTGTGCTCTGTTAAACATCATTTGGCAAATATTTAAAAAAGAAAAAAATTCAAAGGGGGCTAATAATTCTGAATTTGACTGTGTGGAAAATTCTTCCAGGACAAACATTTAATTTAAATTATTTGCAAAAATAAAAATATCACTTAAATTATATATTCCAAAAAATCATACTCGAGTCCAATAATCTAATAAAAAACATCACACAAAAATAAAAAGAATTATAAATGAACATATTATAGACAGAATAAATAATGTAATGCTATTTTAAAACATCGGCTCTAATTAACAGCGTGTCAACTAAAGGTCACATTGCACCAAGCACTGCAATAAAAAACTTCAAAAGAGGTCTGACTCAACAAATCTGCAAAGTAGTCGACATAGAGCTGCATCAGTGGGTCGAAGATGTAAAAAAAAAACAAGCCTAACCGCATTGATCAAAGTTAATCTTAAAGGGAACATGTTGCAGAAAAACCCTGCTCTTTGGAAATCAAAGACTTTAATGTAATATGGAGACAAATGTTCACAACATGTAAGTTCGACTCTTTCACCAGTCCAAACCATTCACTGAAACTAAACAAGAAATATGGGTCATTCAGAAATCTTTAACGCTAATTTACAACCATAGACAGAGTAAAGTACTAAGTAGTAAGTAAGATAGATGGATGTTTACGTTGTCTTTACACAGTGGATAGGGTATATGCCGAGCTAGTGCTGTTCCCATACTGATAAACTTCCGGTGACCTTTCATTGTGAATTTTTTTCCATTTTATACGGTTCCTTTTGTTCCTGTTGTAATGTAATTAACATTCAATTAGTTAAATAGACTTTGGCATTCATTTAGTTGCTCAAGTGTAAAACAAGACAAAAAGCTGTTTACTCCTACGCGCCTGTCAGAATCGGCAGGCTAGTGCAGAAGCTCCATTCAATATACTGGGGCAAAATAAATGCTCATATTATAAATACATGGCGGGGAAAATGTAATTTAATGCAGTGCTTCTTGCAAAATCTGAGACCCACTTTATATTGGATATAACTCAGCCAGTGGAGATCACTGATTTTTAAAGAAAACAGACCTTAAACGCGCCGATTTTGCAATGGTATTTAAGTCACCGGAAGCGGTTAACCCAGGTTACTGGCAAATTAAAAGTCTTTTTAGCATGCTTCGGCATATACCCTATCATTGGAAGGTTTCCTGATATTATTTCTAATCAAACTCTTATTTTTTTATACTCTTACTAGTTTGATTTGTCTACTAACGACATCCAACAGCAGCAATTCATATATCATTGGAGAACTTTTGTTTAAACAAAGTGTCATTTCTGCCAAATCTAAAATTGTAAGTAAACATTTACTGTAAATCATTAACTATTATTACATTGGCTTTTATTCTTTTAGCAGACGCTTCTACCGATATCTACCTACAAATGATGATAAAAGCAAAAACATGTAGAGATACAGTGAAAATTTTTAGGGAAAAGTTTGTGTACTTTTTTAACAAAAAAGATAGATAAACAGATAGACAAGCAGACAGATAGACAGGCAGACAGACAGACAGACAGACACTGTAGATGGATGGATGGATGGATGGATGGATGGATGGATGGATGGACGGACGGACGGACGGACGGACGGACAGACAGACAGACAGACAGACAGACAGACAGACAGACAGACAGACAGACAGACAGATAGATGGATGGACAGATGGACGGATAGACGGATGGACGGACGGATGGACAAAATGCTATTAGCTAAATAAACTTATTTTCACCCAGTAAAGTAGGGCTTACAGTGGATCTTTATATTCACTTTCATAATACTATTATGTTTGAAATAAATGAAACGTGTGCTGCTTGATGTATTAACAGGCATTTATGGAAAATATGCAATTGAGAATATTTCAGATACATTACATTTAAACGCAATACAACTACAGCTAAAATCATAATCTTTAAGCTTCACATGTGCTTTAGTATGTAAGTCAGCCCATCAACATTATGTGCACTGCATTTCATATACTCACTTTAAGTGAACTTAAGTGGCTTTTATTTCATTAATAAAATAGAACAGAACCTGAAAGCACTGTTCATTTTACATATCCTTTTTTATTTATTTATTTATTTTTTGAAGCTGCAAATATAATTAGGCGCACATAATTTAAAAGAGATTCTGGAAATGTTATTGGCAATTACTTTTTATTTCTCAGATGTGTATACTGCACTTATCAAAGTTATAAAACACTCTTTTTCAACACAATTTAACAAGATTATAACTTGGTTGATAAATTACAGACAATGAAATGCTCCATTTACAATGGATGAATGACGAGGTGAAAATAGCTTCACAAAACTGGGCCATAATCTTTTAAATACTGCCATATTTGCCTATTAAAAACACTGAAAGGGCATAAGCTTATTAGCTATTCAGTGCAGGGTTCTATCTGCGTTCTGATCGATTTTGAGATATTGAGCTTCAAAGCTTTTGCATTCCATATAGCAAACAGTATGTGTGTAACATTTGTTTTTTAAATAAAAGTCTTAAAATGCAAACAACTTATAAAAAACATCCCATAATGTAAATATGTTGCATTTAATAAGAATATGTCAATAACTATATTTTGACAAAAATTTCAGATAGATCCTAATAATTATAAGGTGACGATTTGATATAGGGTTTTATGTTTTGTTTGTACCTTGGAGTTGCTCAATGAGAGTCCAGGCCATACGTGAACCTTGAGCATCAAACACGACATGACCCTATGATACACACATGGAAAAATATGATTACAATACATATGGAATATGCATAAATACTTCATACGTAAATAAATACTTCATACGACCCTGGTCTTATGTGGCAAAGGAATATTTTGGTAATAGCCAAAATATCATTCTTTGGGTCAAATATATTGCTTTTTTATTTTATGAAAAAAAAAATCAATATTAGGTAATGGTCATGCTCCAGGAAGTTATTTTTTCAAATTTCTATTGCAAATATATCAAAACTCTTGATCATGAATTAGTAACTTCATTTGGACCACTTTTAATGTGATTATCTCAGGTCAAAAATTGTTCTAACAAACCATACAACGATGTAAAGCTTATTGTTTAGCCTTTAGTTGATGTATAAATCTCAATTACAAAAATGGTGAACCTATGACTGGTTCTGGTGGTCCTGGGTCACATTTGTGATTCTTCAATAAAGCAGAACAATCTGTTGGACAAAGGCTAAATCATCCTATAATGAGTTTGAGAATAGTTGCTTGCATATAAAAAAATAGATCGCCTGAGACTGATGAGCATCTCTGAGAGTTTAAAATTTAAAGAGGCTTTTTGACAGATCTGGGAAATTAAAGTCTGGAAAAAATTTTAATCACACTATTTTATTCCTTCTGTTTTTTCAGAGAAGTTACTAAACTTACAGACACTCCTTCAAACGAGCTGGTGTTGAGGGCTCTGTATATCTCGGCAGTAATTTCCTTGTTGTTGTAGTTGAAGTCCTCCAAGCCCCAGCCTTTGGCCCTCAGCGGGGCCACAGTTTTGTTGAGGGCCAGAGCCAAAGCCCAGACGGCATCATACGCCAAAGGAGCTTCCTGGAAGCCACCGGTCTCTTCTGGGTTTTTGCCACCGAGACGTGACATCAGCTGAGCAATGAACTCTTGTGAGGTCTGTGGAGGAGTTTCAAAGGATTAAAAAGCAATCTATCCAAAAACTTTAAATACCAGTAATCTAAGCACCCTCAGGTAATTCAAGATGTAGGTGGCTTTTTTTATTATTTTTTGCTAAAAATCTTGTCCTTGGTGATTCATAAAAAGTCTGCAGTTACTGGCACTTTGAGAGAAAAAATTAAACAGGCAAAAGAACATTAACTAAATGCATTTCCTAACTATATATATATATATATATATATATATATATATATATATATATACAATTTTTTTTTTTTTTGAAAGACCAGTCTGTGCAAGAATTGTATCTTCAATAAATTATTAAGAGCAGGGACAGCCCTTAAAAAAGGTGAGAAATACTTTGCGTTGATCTGTTACTTAAACAATAATAATTAAAATAACAGATCATTTAAAATTACATTTGAGCACCCCTATAGCAGTTCATACCATTGTGAATGCATTATAGCGCCAAGCGGACTATGCAAGAAAATATTCATTCATCAGTCTGAAGTGGGCAGAACTATACTAAATAGTATTTGAAAATAGAACTTGTATGTTCCAAACCGTAGTATGTTTAAAAGAGTATGCCAAAGGTACCCGAATGGTTTACTATTTTTAGTAAAAAATTAAGCGTAAAAGCGTCCATACTCTAACTGCTAATACTGCCCACAATACATTGCACGTTGGATGTGAAATTGATTAGAACTACAAACGTGGGTGAAAAGTGTAAACAAACTACAAACATGGCAGACACGCTAGACCTAGTTTAATCACTAGTCAATCCAAAATACTGCACCTTAAAGAGTAAAATAATAAGCGCGATTCAGTTCGGCTTAAATTTGGTGGATTTTCCAACACTTCCCAAGCCAAGCAAAACCAAGCGATATTGTACCACGCAAATACTGATTGTGTTTTAACATAAGATAACTTTCAGTGTTTTCTACATCCTCAAATCAGAAAAGGTTGGGAAAACACAAATAAAAAATAAAGTAGTGATTTGACAATTTACTTTGACTTGTATTTAATTGCAGACAATGCAACAAACATTACTTAATGTGTTCCTCATGATTTGTATTAGGTTTTTCCCTAAATAAACACATTTTCCAATTTTGGTTTTTGCAACACATTTCTATAAAACTTGGAACAGAAAGCATTTAGAACTTTGCAATGCTGCCATTCCTTTTCACAACACTTAAAAGATGATTAGGGACTGAAGACAACAAGTGATGAAGTGTTTCAGGTGTCATTTTGTCCCTTTCTTCCTGCAAAAAAAGTCTTAAGCTGGGCAACAGTATGGGCTCTAAGTTGTTCGCATTTTGCACTTCAAAATACGCCACACATTATCTATTGGAGACAGGTTAGGACTGCAGGCAGGCCAGTCAAGTACCTGTATCCTCTCCTTCTGCAGCCAGGAATTTGTAATGTGTGCAGAATGTGGTTTTGTATTGTCTGGTTAGAATATGCATGGGCGTATTTGTTGGCAAACTGGTGATCTTCGGCCCATCTTTGCTCCTAAAGGACTAGACCTTTCTTGAATGCTGCTTTTGTACCAAATCATAATAACAATCACCTGTTGACATCATCCGTTTGATCCGTATAATTTAACCAATTTACCTGATTAGCCCTAAATTGCTCCTGTTCCAATTTTTTTTTAAATGTGTTGTCGGTCTGAATGACAAGAAAGGATGTGGATTTACAAATGAAATGACATTGACCAGACAAAAGTGAAATATTTTGTGTTCATATTGTCTGTAATGAAATACAGGTCAAAGTAAATGACTTTTTTATTTGCATTTTCCATACTGTCTCAACTTTTCTGATTTAGGGTTGTATAATATTTTATTGTATAAAAATGTGTTGACAAAAATCTCTCTGTTAAATTACACTCGGGAAATAATTTTTAAAGAATTAAAATTTCACAGGAACGCTAGTCATTTCGACTTCATCTGAATATATAAACAACACGAATGTCATATAATCATGATCCTGTTGTGAAAGTCTCACCAGGTTGGAAGCCCCGCGGACGGTCTCAGGGTTTAGCATGACGATTTCAGTGGTGATGTGTCCCTCCACAGCTTCTGTCATGTTCTCCACTGTGCAGTTGATGGCCGGATCTTTGATCTTAAACCAGTTGTCGGCGTACCAGCCGATGAGGAACCATACGTACTTCTTACCATACAGTTTCTCTTTGAAGACCTGCCAAAGACGACACCATGTTTTGAAAGTCTGTGCTCAAGCCATAATCGTATTCAATATTTTAATCTCGGTTAAGCCTCGGTGAGTTAACACAGGCAGAGTGGAGGCATCGAACTGAATTGTGCTGAAGTGATTTACAATAAATTGACAGCTCAGACCTACTTGGAAAAAAGGAATCGTAATTGTCACTTGCCTCACAAAACACCTTTCTGGCTTCAGTTTCATAAAATAATCCGACAATGATTCGAGCATCTTGACGCTGGAAAGAGATTAGAGGAAAGAGTTAAACAAGACAAACCCACATCGCACAATGTTATTACTATGAAATTATTATCAAAAAAAAGAAAAGTATTTTGCAATATTATGCAAAACTAATGTTTTCCAATGGCAAATGAACCTAAATAACCTAGATAAGCCTTTAAATTATGTCAAGCCAAATATTAGTATTTTACAAAATAACTAGTAAAAGACAAAGGAAATTAGTTATTATAAATATTATGTTTATAAATGTGTTAAACATCTCTCTGTTAAACAGCACTGTTTAATTATAGTTTTAATTCTTTAATTTTGACTTCAGGTACCATTGACACTTGTATGTTTTGCGCTTCAAAATGCGCCTCACATTTTCAATTAGAGACAGGTCGGGACTGCAGGCAGGTCAGTCAAGTACCTGTATCCACTTTCTCCACAGCCAGGACTTTGCTTTACTTTTTTTAGTTTGGTATTTACATTTTTATTTAAACTATTTTACAGTCAATATTATTATAGCCCCCTATAGATTTTTTTTTTAGACTGGCCTAGAATCTAGATAAGCCTTTAAATTATATGTTAAGCTGAATATCGGTATCTTACAAAATAACTAGTGAAAGCCAAAATAAATCAGTTATTATTCCTTTGATGCATTACATGGGTCTAAAGTGACCTGTCTAAATTTATTTTTTCTATATCTATTTTATAGCTTGTGCATCAAAGGGTTAAAAATATAACGTAAAAAAATCTCTCTGTTAGGCGATGCAGTGGTGCAGTAGGTAGTGCTGTTGCCTCACAGCAAGAAGGCTGCTGGTTCCAGCCTCGGCTGGGTCAATGAGTGTGTGTGGATGTTTCCCAGAGATGGGTTGCAGCTAGAAGGCCATCTCCTGCGTAAAACGTGCTGGATAAGTTGGTGGTTCATTCCGCTGTGGCGACCCCGAATTAATAGAAGGGACTAAGCCGAAAAGAATGAATCTCTTTGTTAAACAGCATTTTAAATTATAGTTTTAATTCTATTAAGTTTGACTCAAGGTACTGTTTATGTTTTGCGCTTCAAAATATGCTACACATTATCTATCGGAGACAGGTCGGGACTGCAGGCAGGCCAGTCAAGTATTTAATAATATATTTGCTGTAATTTATCAAATTATCTTTAATATACACTAATTAGAAAGCTATTCATTTCAGTGTGTGTGTGTGTGTGCGTGTGTGTGTGTGTGTGTGTGTGTGTGTGTGTGTGTGTATGCAGTGAAAGGTGACATGTTGCTCAAAAACCCAAAAAATCCTACAAGAAAATAAACTATATTTACATGCTGGGATAACAAATTAGGTCACACTTTCTAATAATGTTTCATTAGGTAGTGTTAGTTAAAGCATTTACTAACCTTGACTAATGATGTACAATAATTGTAAATCATTTATGAATTATTTACACAATCATGCATTGTTAAAATCCAAATGCTTGGTAGCATTAGTTAATGCACTGTGAGTTTGCATGAACTAATAATGGACAGCCTTCTTTTCATGAACTAACGTTAATAAAGACTAATAATTAATGTATTAATCACTGTTTGTTCATGCTAGTAATGCATTATCTAGTATTAACTAATATGACCTTAATGTAAAGTGATACCATTATTTATTAAAATAATTATTGATACTAAATTATAAATTTGACTCTCAACTGCAAATGCCTTTACATGAGCAATAAGCCACTATATGTGAAGTACAAGAATTGTTTTACATGTAAAAAAAGATGTTTGTAATTTATTGCTTTCAGTTATTTTGTTTGTACGTGCTAAAAAGCTGAAGTGTGTACTTCCGGCGTCATTTAAGCTTCCAAACAAAATAATGGCCATTTTTCAAAGGCTTTCTTCTAAATATATTAATTTTGTACAGTGAAAAGTGTAGAGCAGACTCTGCATAGTAAAGAGAGAAATAATAAAGTATTGCAGCACTGAAATTATAAATCACTTTTAAGATATATATATACGGTATGTGCTGAATATTTCAATCACATATCCAAAAAAAAGTGAAGCCAAACATTTAAAAAGGCAGTCCAATTCTCACGAGGTCTTCATTCAACATATTTTTCTTATTTAAATAAATGCTGTCTGACTACTGAATAATAAGTATGGACCAAGACGAGCATCCAAAGCGTCACTTGATCTGATGAAGGGAACTGATTCCTCGGAGTGTTGCTTTATTTCACGTAAGATTTTTCATGCGCTCTGCCTGCTGGAAAAGCTAACCGACGCGGGCTGAGGAGAGGAAGTGAGCGGCTGGTGAATTTTTCATCAAAGCACCTTCAGGTTTTTGACAGCCACTGCGGGATCGGTGAGGAAGCTCTGTCTGACGCTTATCTCGATGTTGGCCTCCTTCACACGCTCCTCCAGATCATCCAGAGTCTGCGGAGAGAAGAAGAGAGCGATTGACAGGACAGAAGTGATGTTTGTGGAGAGAGAGAGAGAGTGAAGGATGGACAGGAAGAGCCTGCATGAAAGATCAAGGATCAAATGAAAGAGGAGAATAAAAAAGACCATGAGATGAATGGTCAAACCGCAGAACAAAGTATAGAAAATCCCAAAGGAAAAAATAGCCCTTCTCCTTATTAATAAAATAAAATAAAATAAAATAAAATAAAATAAAATAAAATAAAATAAAATAAAATAAAATAAAATTAAATTAAATTAAATTAAATTAAATTAAATTAAATTAAATTAAATTAAATTAAATTAAACAAACTTAAATTAAAATTTATTTAAATAATTTTTTTTATAATAAAAACTAAAAAATTTAATTAAATTTTATTTTATTTAATAGGCGATGCAGTGGCGCAGTAGGTAGTGCTGTCACCTCACATCAAAAAGGTTGCTGGTTTGAGCCTCGGCTGGGTCAGTTGGTGTTTCTGTGTGGAGTTTGCATGTTCTCCCTGCGTTCGCGCGAGTTTCCTCTGGGTGCCCCTACACATGCAGTACAGGTGAATTGGGTGAGCTAAATTGTCCGTATAGTGTATGAGTATGAGATGTGTGTGTGTGTGTGTGTGTGTGTGTGTGTGTGTGTGTGTGTGTGTGTGTGTGTGTGTGTGTGTGTGTGTGTGTGTGTGTGTGTGTGTGTGTATGTTTCCCAGTGATGGATTGCAGCTGAAAGGGCATCTGCTGTGGCGACCTCGGATTAATAAAGGTACTAAGTCGACAAGAAAATGAAATGAAATGAAATGAAATGAAATGAAATTAAATTTAATTTAATTTAATTTAATTTAATTTAATTTAATTTAATTTAATTTAATTTAATTTAATTTAATTTAATTATTTTTTTATTAATTAATTAATTAAAATTAAAATTATATAATAAAATAAAAACTTTATAAAAATAACAAATTTTAAATAAAATAAATTTAAAATGAATAAAAATAAAATACAAAATAATAATATAAATGATATTATAAAAATTAAATTCAATTGAAATTTTAAAAATAAATTTAAATTAAAAATTATATTATAAATATAAAATAAAAATTTAGTTTGTATATATGCAATCTAATATATGAAAAACAAAAGAAAACAACTATATATATTAAAGCAAGTACATGTGTGTGTATGTGTGTGTGCGTGCTTGCGTGCGTGCGTGCGTGCGTGCGTGCGTGCGTGTGTGTGTGTGTGTGTAATAATGAAAACAATTTGTAATGAAAACAACATTAAAAGCATTAAACATCACAATTAACTGCAACAAAAATGACAGTAATATAATACTGTAAAAACAAATATATAATATATATATATTCAAAAATATATAATATATCAAAATAATGACCAATCAAATGAAAAGCAGTTAACACTTAAACTTTTCTTATATGTGTGCACAGAGCGATGAGGCAGGTTTTTTGTAAAAGTGCTATCGAGAAATGAGGAGATCATTGAACTGAGAGGTCAATAGAGAAAGATGTAAGTGAATGAGGAAAAGAGATGAGCTGGTGAAGAGATGGAGGAGGATCATTAGCCTAGCGGAATTACACCAGCTCAATACTGAATCAATGCATGAGAGATTTATGACATGGTCAATATTCCTAGCAGCCAACATCAAGAAAAATTACTTTAAGAGTCTTTCATCGTTTAAGAAGAGTATAATCAACCAGCATTCACTGTGACGCATTAACCTTAGCGTATAAGCTTGCTAACAGTTTTGAGAGGAAAAGGAAACCACTTTTCAGGGAAATTGCTTCCTTTAAAGAAGTCATATCATATTTTATTGCTTCATTTGACCCCTGAGATCTGCTTATAGCATTCTTCAATTGCTTTTTTTTTTTTGACATAATTTAGTTTTCTTGACCATAACTTTTTGACCTTCAGAATAAGCTTGTTTTGTGGGAAAACTAGAATGTAAATGGCCTGTTTATAAGTGAAATGCTATGCCTGTTAATAGGTGCAGTATGTAAGTTTGAACTAGATATTGCACTCCTGGTTCAAAACACCACGCAAAAGCAGGTTGCCAGATTGACAACACCAACAAAGGCTGATTTGAATCGTGTTCTAAATAAAAGCAACAGCATGCGATAGTAGGAATATTTTCCATATTAAAAGGAGTTTTTGTTCTAACCCACACCTAAAATTAATGAATTAGAAACAATATCTATTTCACGCAGATAAACAACAGAAAACGGACAATGATCACCTCAGATACACCTCATGCCATTTTACATGATATTTATTGCCATACTACTGAAGGCAGATACTTCACCTCAGACCTTAAAATTAAAATTAACCTTTGAACTTTAGAACTGTGAGTGCAATCCAACAAATAGTGATTCAGCATGTACATTTAATAATTTTAAAGAGGTTTAATGTGTATTAATTAGATAATAAATCTTGCCATTTTGTTGAAGTGCAGTAAGTGCAATATTCTGTGCTTCTGAATGGCTGTATTTAAATTTCTGTCGTGTATCATCTGGTGCAAACAGCCCAATTGCTTATCACTGGAAATCTCTTCATGTGGTGTGTTATTAGGACACAGGGTTACAATGTAACCTGCTCACTGAGGGCCCTATCATACACCCCGCGCAATGTGCACAAGGTGCAGCGCAATACTTGTTTGGTAGTTTCAGCTTGGCGCAAGAGTCGTTTTGAGGTGTTGCGCTACGCTGTTTAAATAGCAAATGCATTAGCGCTCATATGTGCGCCCATAGGCGTTCTGGTCTAAAAAGGAAGGCGTTCTGAGGCGGACCGCTGGCGCGTTGCTATTTTGAGAAACTATAATAGATTTTTCATTAGACCAAAACAAACCCGGTCTAAGCTCCAGCGCAGAGTTGCGCCTCGCTTACACACAGCTTAATAAGCACAAGAGAGCAATAGGCAAATATCTTTACATATAAAAAAAAATTAATATTAAGGATATATGTAGGATATAATAAGGATAGATATAGGATATGAACATAAAGGATTAAAATATTACAAAACATATGATTTTCTAGCCTACATAAATATGAAAAATCACTGCTTTTATGCCTTCTTCATCTCGAGAGGCTTTTTCAGTTAATTCAAAACAATTTACTTTTGTGTAATGTTATTATTATTACCAGTATTATTTATTATATCTATATTTATATTTGTTTTATTAAAAATAAGCTTAGATTTCCCAACCTGTCAGGTTTTAGACCATATGTGGCACAGCATGTGTTTTAGGATATAACTCAGGTTTTTGAACACACTTCGTTATTGTTGTTCATTTATTCGTTTGCTGGAAATTAGAACTGAATTTAGAAATAGTTTTGAAATGAATATTTGCGCTTAACAAATGCAATTAATTATTTATAGACTAATTGATGTCTGTGCGTAAAGGTTTCCCTATCCAAGAGCGAAAGTGAAAGTAGATCCCTTATCTCTCATTCTCACACAGTTGATGCTCTGTTTAACAGTTTTCTGTTAAAAAACTGTTAACTGTTTGCTAGTGAAATGCTCAGTTTTTCCACTTAGACTTACTTAACGTCCTGTAAATAGCGAATGCGCTTATGGCACGATGCAGATGGCTCTTAAAGGGAATGGGAGATGAGACTCTAATTGGTTTATTCTCAAAACACACCTATAACTCATTAAGAAAATAAACTCAAGCCTTTTAGACCATGCGCCACGGGGCAAAGCGGATTTTACCGTCCTTAAATTAGCAAAAATGCGTTCTGACACGCCCTGAAAGCGTTTGCGCCCTGCGCTTTGTGCTCTGCGCATGGACCGTCAAAATAGAGCCCTTAATGTTTACATTCGTAATATTTATATTATTTGCTAATTAATAACCTCATGTAAAACTCTGAATTCAGTCTCATTTCAGAGTCTGCTACTATCTACCGAAGGTCGCATTTCAGTCGCAGACACATGTTTTTAGAGCCTTCATGACTGAGTGAATGAAATATGCGTTTTTTTCACCAAGGCAACCCGGGGTGCTAAAATATAATTGGCTGAACTGGCAGTGGGTGGGTTAAAAGAATCAAAACAAAGACAGACGTTCCGGCGCAAAACTCACATTTTCACAGAATATCTGACTTTAGCATTGTCTTTCAGATAAACCAGAACGCTCAGTTAGCATGTTTCTTAAATATCTGCAAACATGTTATGGTATTTTTATGCTTTAAAAGAGTAAAAAACTTAGATACAGCACCTTTAAGTTTTTTTTTAACAATCCAAGCTGAAACACACAATAAAACTGAGAAAACTGAAACCTTTTAGAAGAAAATGCAGAGCTGCAGGTCATACACACAACATAGTTCCATAGATATATACACAAACAGACCACATACGGACCCTGAGCATGCGTCAATACCGCCGCCACATTGGTACAGGGCTCCCAGGACAAAAGTCATTCAACCTCACTACTCAAGTCTAAAGCCAATCTGAAGATGCTGGACTTTGAAACAAATTTAACAGGTAGGAAGTATAATACACATCCATGCACAAAAACACATGTTCTTTGTCAAAAAAGCTTGTGCGGTCACTTATCCATCGATATAAAATTATAATTTTTGTAATTTAAAAATATTTGCATACTGACCAGCTGTACCTCCTGATCATTCATATATGTATATATGTATGTATATATCTCTGGCTCTGGATGGCCAGTCCTCCAATACACCTTGGTCCCACATTCATTTCAAAGGAGCGCTACTCTGTACTAAAATGGCAGTTCTGCCATTTCTGCCAATAGTAGTTCTGCTGGTATTCAGTGAATATTATAGTGTTTAGATAAAACATATGCATGCATATCCATGCCTATAGTCACTGTACACTAAATAGTATGTGTTAATTTATGTGGATTTCTGCTATTTTTAGCTTCTTTTCTGTTTTTTTGTGCAAACAGAGTAATCATTTAGTTATGACAGGCTCACAAAACAATGTGCCATAGAACCTGTCAAAACTGAAACCCAAGAAAAGAAAATGCAGAGCAGTGGGTATCATTTCACAGCATTTAAATACTTCATTATTACTTCTGATGGTGTTTGATGATGTTTAGAAACAAAACCTGCTTTTCTATGCTGATTTCACCTTCACTGAAAATCCAGTCACCGAACACCAGAACTTTTATTTCTTTGTGTCGATTTCTGCATAATTTACATAATTTAATACCTAAGATCAAATTATAGCATTTATTAATTTAATTTAGTCATAATTTAGTTTTCATCATAACTGATGCTTCATTTACACCCGTATCTCTTTTACTTTATTTATGTTTTGGTTGCTGTGCCTTTAAAGGGGACCTATTATGCAAAAATCACTTATATAATTGTATTAAACACAGCTGTGTGGTAATAGTCTGTGAATTTGGACAGCTTCTAAAGGGAAAAAGTTATAATGAAACAATTATATAATCATACTTTATTAAAACAGTGTACAGAAACACTTTGATTGACATTCTCCCTTTGTACGTGTCATCAGAGAGTTAAAGCCCCGCCCATTAGTGACAATCTCTCCCTTATTAGCATAGGACGTTAGTCTTGTTTTTGAATCTGCCACTATGCTGATGCATAGGCATTTGTAGGCAATTTAAAGTGACAGTCACCAAATGGCACCATTAGGATTAAAGCCTGAAAGGGGCAGTTTCAGAGCGTTATAACACATTATTTATAGGGTATTTTAAGGTGAAACTTCACATACACACTCTAGGGACATCACAGACTTTTTTAACATCATGTAAAAAGTAACATATGTCCTCTTTAAGACTTGACAAAACCAATGCAAAGCCTTTCAATTTCGACAGGTTCACAAAACAATCCACATTGCAGAGGTTTGGTTGCCACACATAACCAGAAATAGCACATGGAATGATGCATTTTACTTTATATTATTAATTCTGGTAGTTTTTAATGAATTTCATGGTCTATAGGGGTAAAAATTAGCCTTCGAGTCCTATTTCGCCTTCATACTATAGGTTGTTTTCACATGACGTCACTGATGATGCGCAAGATTTTACATAGTAAAAATATAGGAATCGGAATCAGAACATCAAAATGTTTCTGTGTTATGCTGTTTATGATTGTTTAAATCGGCCAAAATGATAAATGCCAAACAGCTTTTACAGATTTTCAAAAGTTTTTGCTCATAAAGGTGGGAAAGTAAAAAAAAAATGGGTGAAAAATGGAAGAAAAGGCATGCAATAAACATTAATTCAAAACATCCATGTGTACAAACTAATTATTCATTTGACAGCACTAATAACTATTAGATAAAAGCCTAGCAATGTGTATTATATGTTAATGTGTTATATAAAAATCAAATACAAACACCAACACACCTATACAAAATACTGGAGAAATAAATAATGTACCCTGCCATGTAATCACTGCAATGAAATCCTAGTCTTGTTTTGCAATAACCCATGTCTTTACTAGCGTTTCGACAGAGTAAAAACAAACGTAACGCCAAAATTGAGATGCGCAGCAGAGGTGAATATTTGTTGATGGTAAGTTTTTTGATCGCGTCCTAGCGACAAAAATAGATAGTTGTTAATGTGGAGCACTGTTTACCTCTTACAAAAATAAATAAATATTAATGTAGACTATTCGTTCACGCTTTTGTGTGTTTTCATCTGTTATTTCATCATGTCTGGAAGATATCCGCATGGGACAAAACTATAGTCATTTATAATAAACATGCTTTTGAACCACATAGTAACATGTATGATGTATACAACTCATTGTTAATGAATGCTACAGAAAACTGTAGCACAGTAAACTGGTAAACTGTTACAAAATATTGTAACGTTAGTGTAAACTATGGTGCATTGCGACAGTGTATAATAAAGCCTATTGAATAATTTGTTTATTACTACAGTTGTACCACAGCAACAGCAATATAATTACTACAACAGTTAAATTCAAGTAATTATCAATAGTATGCTTCCAAACACTATTTACTATAGTATTTTTTCATGTAACGTAATAGCTTATACAGTATCTACCACTTTGATGACAGGCAAATATATTTCAGTAGAGTTCAGTTCAGTAGAAAACTCGACCCTCTTCATGACATAAGGATGATGCTGAACATATGTGGTTATTTTCTATTCATATCTCTATTGAAATATGATATAAATCGCTAAAAAAAGGACTTTCCTCAATATCTCCCATGTAGTTTTTTTACTTGCTGCCCTCCATCTGAACTTAACACATCACCAGAATCACATGATTGAAAACCTATATATGTTTTGAACAGCCCACAGATATTCTTGTGTTCATTTATATGGATTTCAATAGTTCAGTTGGAAGAAAGTTCTTCAAGTACTTTAGGAAAAGTGCTAGGATGCTGAAACTCTGTTAATTACTTTTGTGTTTTCACACTAAAATCTCATTTGGCGGCAAAGCAGAAAAGCCCAAAAATCTCAAGACCTGGAAAACCCCAGTATGACTGCACTGAGTCAGATAAATAAGAGAGAGAGCTGCGCATGCAGGACTGACCGAGGTAAAGACTTCAGTGGTCTGCTGGATGGTGGCGATCTTTGTCCATTCCCACTTCTGGAAGAGCCGCACACGTGTGGGATTATGCAAAGTCGCTGACGGGTGCGTACGGAAGAAGGTGGGAAATCGCTGGCGGTTGGATAACGCTGGAGAACTAGATCCATATGAGAACTATTGAGAGAGAGGGGAGAATAAATAAAGTTAAAAAGTGTAAGGATGGAGAGAGCACATTGAAAAATATCTCAGCTGTACAGTACGGTTGACCTTATTTGATTCCACTGAAAAGAAGGAAAACACAAAGCAAAAGCAGAGCAAAAAATATGAGTCAGATTTCTGCACACACTGTAAGAAGGGTAAATGTCAGCCCAGTGGAGCCAGAAGCTTTGTGCAAACCTGAATAAATAAGCCAATCTGTTTCTTCATCCAATGTTGAAGTGTCGATACTATAAAAGGCAGAGCGGACGAACGCTAACGACTTTCTGCTTCAATCTTTCTCAACTAAATCTTTGTATTTCAAGCAATGAACCAGGTGGTTGATTTTAAACACACACACACACACACACACACACACACACAAACACACACAAACACAAACACACACACGCACACACACACACACACACACACACACACACACACACACACACACACACACACACACACACACACACACACACACGCACTTTCTCTTATAAAAAGCTTAACTGTGCTGAATGTGTACTTCAAATCATAAGAGTAACTGTCCTTGCCTGTTTAAGTTTTTCTTTTGTTTACTTGCATTTTATGAATCAGCAAAGTTGAGTTTCAGCTAGAAATATTCCCTAAAGATTGCTCTTCTGGACAAAAACAATCAACATTATCTTGGATGGCTTTGAGGTGAAGAAACTAACAGCAAACTTTCATTTTTCTCCTAAAAAAAACCTTAAAGTATATTATTTTTACCCTTTAACAGGCATTGTAACTGCCTGGATGGCCTCTTTGTGCATAGCATTAAAATCTCTAAAATTAGCTTAGAATGGGGTCAGGAACTCAATTTAAAGGGACAATTCAGTCAAAAATGAACATTTTCTCCCTATTTACTCACACTCAAGTGGTTTCTTTTTTTATATCTTTTGTTAAACACAAAGGAAGATATTTTGTGAATGCTGGAAAAAAAAATTCCCCTACTGTTAATGGCTGCTTGTTCTCAACATTCTTCAAAATATCTTGTTTTGTGGTTAACAGAAGAAAGAAAATTATAAAAGTTTAAAATCACTTGTGTGTGAGAGAATGGAGATGAAACGTTCAATTATGGGTGAACTGTCCCTTTAACCAAATAAACTTTTGTGTATTGTTCAAATTGACTACCCTTGACAACCCTTACTTTTTTTTTTTAAATGTTCATGTACCCATTTCGTTATGTTCAGGGAAAATCAGCAACAATCAAGAACACATAATTATATGGTGTCATTGATTTGCAATCAAAAAATGTCATTTCAATAAAAGCCAATAGGGCGAAAACAGCCATCAACATACCGAAAGGGTAAATTATTGAAAAATTTTCAAAGCATTTTCTTAAAATATGTGTCAAAATAAGATTTGTCACCAAAAGTCATTCCATTTGCTTAAACACAGAGAAAGTTGTGGCCAAATTAAGACTCAAAATCACCCCAGAGTGGATGAAAACATCGGAACAGCACATAAGGGTAAAAGGATAAACATGTACTATTTGCAAAATAAAAACTATTTATATGCTAAAATATCTGCTTAAGTGTCCTTATTTTGCACAAGGGTTGATAAGCCTAAACTGTTACAGTATGTACGGTTATTCATTTTTCAAGAGCATCTCTGTCTTAATCTACATGACTATAAACCCACCTCTCAAAAACAACTCATAAAGGTTCCTTGGAGAGCTGACTTGTTAAAAGTAAACTCAACACTCACTTTTCCAACTTTCCAACTTAAGTAAAAATATCTGATGAGAACAAAGCCATGACTGAGAACATTAATTTCCAAATTCCAGCAAACCTCAGCGGATGCCAGATGATTGAAAGAGAATAATTGGAAAACATAATTATTTCGTCAAATTGCTAAGGGGTATCTTGTGTATTTTATTCTCTTTTTTCCGCTTTCGCACTCTCATTTAGTTCTCTAACATCCGAGAGAGCCTCTTTTTTTTGACAGATTTAATTTGGAAGCTTCTTCAAAAGTGTCAGCAATTTAGAGAAACCCAACAAGATCACAAGTTCAAATTCTTTTTGTTCCATGGCCCAAAAACAACACAGAACTGCTTGTTTTGGTTGGTGCATCACCACATCCAAATTACAAATGAAGTTGCAAAAAGTGTTTTATCATTTTATTTAATCAAGAATGACAATAAACCAACTTCCCAATGCAAAAAATATCCTTCTGAGCAGTGCAGTCGCAAATATAGTAGTTATTTTTGTGCCCACAAAATACAGAACCTGTTATTTAATGTATATTTTTGTACAGTGTGGGATTTGGAATGTACAGAATTTATTTTGTAAATAGCTGTCATAATATCAAAACAAAATTTCTAATCAGCCACTCCTCTTAACTAAAGCTTGATGTGTCCCCATAGAAGCTAAAACAGAAAACAGTATGAAGTTCTAAGGGGGCGTTCACAGAGAATGTATCTGTATCTGCATGTATGCCGTTTTAAAACAAAAACGATCCGCGTCCACATCTAGCGCTTCCGAAAAAATCTACGTCCACACTACACCTCTGAAAACGCACATCACGTGACCACACACACACTGGCATGAGCTGCAGCGTATGCCCCAGGCAATCAGCGAGTGCTCCGTGGGCATCTCACCAGGTGAGAGCAGCGCATGTCGGACAGTTCATCAAGGATCTACTGCTGGATGTCATCTCATTAGCTGTTAAATGTGATATTTAATTAATCTTGTCTCTATTAAATGAATCTTTGGTCTTTTGAATATACTACTTGTTCTCAGGTAACGTGTTTCGGCTAAGTTGAAAGATAAGTTAATATAATAACATGTATCCAGTTCACTGATTCTGCACACTGAGTGATTGCTTGCCTTTATTGCACAGTATAAACTTATTGTACTTTTGAATGTCAATATTAATTACTAAAACTGATATTCAGCAAAAGAGAGGGTATGATTTATATTTTTCAATGAAAATGAAAGAAGGTAGTTTTGTTATAGGCTCTGTTTTGTTATAAATATGCAAACAGTTAAGATGATGCTCATATAAATATGTAGCTACACAATGCCCTAACATTTCTGGTGTCTGTTAAGGTATTAACATCAAAATGAAAATAGGCAGTTCCTTAAATCATGTTTTCATTTTATTGTTGGAATAGCGAAACAATGTATCCAGTGTGATGTGAATGAGGTAATGTTTTGAAGATTTGTCCTCGGGGGTTTGTTTTTCATATCAAACTTGCAAAGTCTGAACTTAAGGAAAGGGTGAAAGACTGAACTTTGTGCACTCAATATTGATGAAAAAAGCCCCAATACTATTGGCGAATGTCGGTAGCCTTGCTTCCGTTTTCAGATGTCTCCATTTTCCCCATCCACACTGACACAGAGCAGCAGCGTTTTAAAACCAAAACAGCCTCTTCATCGTTACCAAAAAGCTTAGTTTTCGGGGCTCAAAAACTCAGGGGTAGTGTGAAAGGAAGCCATACCCGAAGAAAAACTTTCTTAAAAACGCGTTTTAAAACTAAAACGTATGAGTGCAAACGGGGTCTAAAATGCAACACACAGCATTCAGAAATAGTTTAATAAAAAAGCACCTCCTTCGCCAAGGCTCACTGTAAAAAAAATGCTGGGTTTCAAACAATTCCTTTATGTTGCCCCAACACAAATTGCTTAAATTAAATTAATCTAAGCTTTTAGAAATTAAAGTAAAATTTCAACTCATGTTAAATAAGCAGTTTGAACAAGCAACAAAAAAGTCATATTTTGAGTCCTGCACATACAACAGTAAAAAAAGTATTGAACACGTCTTGGGAATAATATCTGTAAAGCAGCTGTTGACACGGAATTGAACCAGATTTAGGAAAAAAAAAAAACAATACAAAAAATCTGAGAAGTGTAGGCTAATAACAACAAAATGACACAAGCAGAAAGTACTGAACTACTGAAAATATTTTATATATAAGGCTTTTTTAGTGATGGCAGCTTAAAAGTCACATGATTGTGATTGTGGTGAAGTCACATGATTTGCTCAAGTGTGAGTTTTTCACAGACTTCAACAGAGTGTAAAACTCTGCATGGTTCTGTGGGTCTCGTCTATCAAATCAGTTTTTTATTTATGTATTTTCTACTGAATTAAAGTCAGTAGATTGGCATTCTACAGCTTGATTTTATTTCCCTGAGTGCAGCTGAGAGTTTCTTTGGCTGTTTTTTTGGATTAAAGTCCTGCTGAAATGTCCACCCTGTTTGTTTTTTTATCTTCATTATACTGATAATATAGATGTTGGACTGAAGCAGCTAATATTATTTTATAATGAAGAGCAGAGGGTTGCTGAATAACTACTGAGAGATTTCAGCTGCTGTCTGGGCTTTCCCTGCTTTTCTACATCTCACTTTTTTCATCTGTTCAATACATTTTCTCTGCGTCATTTCCTTACATTGTGTATAAATTAATTTGTAAACAAATTATATTTGTTTTCTTTGCATATATATGCATTTCTTTGGTTGTTGCCAACATCCAGGAAAAATTTCAAGTCAATGGCACCTTTAGAAATGTTTTCTGAGAAAAATGGGGACGTGTACATTACTTATTTTCCCCGCTGTAGATGTGTCCTTCACTGCTCTCGACATCCCAGAAATCTGTACATTAAATTTCTGACTGATGAATTAAAAAAAAATAAACAGCACATCTCTAAGAGCCATTTAAGTATTATTTTGAGTGTAAATTACATTTTTGGCCAAAGCATTTTACCTTTGATGGCATTTCTACCAAAAAGTTAACATTGCAGTTAGAATATATATTGTACTTTTTGCTATTACCGAGTTAGTTATCTATTCTGTTGTAAATGATTAAATCTTTATGCTGTCTCAGACATTTTACAAGGTTACTTCATGCACAAATGCTGCCTCCAGGCAACAAGTCAGCTGCATTTTACATGAGTGTATTTTTGGTTTAAAATAGCATTCGATAATGATAATACTCCTCGTGCACAGTGGTGTTTTTATTGTGTTTTAGAAAAACAATCTCCATCCACATTATATAACCTTGAAACACATGATAGATGACCATTCATGCTCACTGGGCATGTACATATTTTGCCTTAGGGCTGGGCAATTTAATAGAGGTGTTGTTCATGCCGTTTTTAGTAAAGCCAGTCCTAATAAAACTCCAGCACATGCATTTAGAGGTTATTAGAGGCATTTAGGGTTTTAATCGGTCGATAATGACAGAGATAATCATTCTATAATGATGACGGCTGTTGGCATTGCTTCTCAATGAATTATGGTAGGGATGTCAAGATCCAATCAAGTGATTATAAGTGATATATTCATATATATATATATGCATACATATTCAGTGTATATATATATATATTCTCGTTATTTTTTAACACGTCTTAACACACTGGAACAGCTACACATGCAGCATGACATCACTTTATTGCAGAGACGCTATTGGTAAAACTGTTAAACTGTAAGATATGTGAACTTGAGATTGCCAGTCGGGTATTTCAAGTTGCCGTGCTATTTGTTTTTATATTAGATTTTTGTATTTACTGTTGCACTAAGGTCCAAAAGTGAAGAATTGATGTTATTTCTTACTTGATTGTTCAAGCTACCTCACAGAAGTGTTCTGTTTGTTAACAGAGTTGTTGAATGTTAAAATAAGGTGAATTAAATTAAAAAAAGGAACATCCTGGATCTGTTTCTTCACTCTTCTTTATTCCTTTTTATGTAAAATAGATGTATTGGATCAGGTTTCGGATACGGTAGATACTCAAAATCAAATGACTCTGACTCAAACTCGAGGGGAAAAATACCTGATCGGGAAATCCCTGGTAAATGCTGTATGTTCAATTACACATACATGTAAACTATATATAAGGAGATGTTTCCACTTCAAACTCACCTTAAAACAACAGTTGAGTGGGCAAAATAAATCCTTCTGTGAAGACTATTCCATGGTCATGTGTTTATCAATGAAAGCAGTTCAATCTTCTGTTTATTCAGCAATTACTTACGGTACTTGGACAATACAATTGGTTGGGACAGAATAATAATTATTATGCCTAATATTTGTTGTATTTTCATAGCAATTCAAACTTCAATATGTGCAACAAGAAACAAAAAGCTGGAGTTTTGACTGCAAATACTCTGAGGAAGAATGACTGAGTGTGTCTAAAACCTGGCCATACACACAACAACCCCAGTTATATTTCAGCTGCTGTGATGTGATAAACATGCTGATTGCATTGGCACTGGTCAGAGGTAATACTTGAAATATTACCATCATGTCTGTTCATCTAAGATGCATCAATTACATCAGGTTTCCACTTTTTTTCTTGTGCTTGAATGTTAAAACAGCCCTCCTATGAACTGTCAATCAGTGAAATTTGAGTTTGGAATCTCTGATTTAAATATAAAAACAATAATAATAATAAAAAGTAGTGCACTGGAATGGAAAAGGCATTTTGTATCAATGGCCCCTAAAGTTTTTTTAAAAATCACTTCAGGGAGACAGTCAGAACATTTTAAACTTACCATTCAATTAAATTCAAGTTAAATTGTATATCGCTTTTCACAATAATTATTGTTTCAAAGCAGCTTTACATTATTGTATTCCAATCAAAATCATAAAAGTTAAGGTTTTGAGTTACAATAACTTTACAAGTTACTAATAACTTTCATTAACTAGTAACTAATAGCTTTTAACAGTTAAAGTTAATGGTCACACTTTAAAATAAGGTTCATTAGTTAATATTAATTAATGCATTTACTAACATGAACAAATAATGAACAATACATTTACTACTGTATTTGTTCATGCTAGTTAATGTTAGTTAATGAAAATACAGTAGTTCAATGTTAATTCATGTTAACTCATGGTGCATTAACTTATGTTAACAAGCATGGACTTGGATGTTAATAATGCATTAGTAAATGTTCAATTAGGATTAATAAATGCTGTACATGTGTTGTTAATGATTAGTTTAGGTTAGTAAATGCATTAACTAATGAACCTTAATGTAAAGTGTTACCAAGTTAATATATATATAAGCATGGTAAACCTGCAGTTATATAGTAAATAAATAGGTGATTTCATAGTGTACATGTTCAAGGTACCAGTGGAAATATTAAGTAAAAATATTAAATCTATTCATGTGTATGGAGAAATCCTCGATCAAAAGCACAGATAATTAAAAAGAGACAAAAAAGTACAATAAGCAAACGCACCACTATCAGATTCCACATTCGCGCTGCTTCGGCCACCAGCGTCGACACTGAACTACAGCCCGGCATCAGGACGATCTTTATGGGCTCTGTGTAGAGCAGGTCATACAGCAGTTTAGTGGCCTCTCCAGGATCACACTGAAGGAAACAGGGGGAAAAAAGACAGTGCCGATTAGTCAGTGGCATATGAAAAAGTTAATTGCAAGGATGTAAAAGCTGCACTTGAGCTTGTCATAATCAATAATGAATCAATGCAATTAGCACAGACAGCCAGAAAAAAAGGATCTAAATGAAAACCTCTCGTGCTGAAGTTCACTGTGACGAACACACTGTGACACATACAAGAGGAAGTGATTCACAAATGAGGGGTTGAACTCTCGCACGACGCAGATGCAGTCAGTATAAGCAGAAACGCTTAATTACCGGAGCCATGCATGCTTTTATTTTTGTTAAAGTTAGAACTAAATGACACAGTGCAGATCTCAAAAACAATGACAGCGAGAAAGCAACCACTTTGGATCCGTCTAACAAGTAGAAGTTTAGATTCGGTAAGAGAGATTATATTGTCATTCCAGAAGGGGTACACAATTTAACTAAAATAATAATAATAAAATAAACCAATAATAATAATAATAATAATAATAATAATAATAATAATAATCAGGGCTTGACATTAACACCCGCCAACCTGCCAAATGCCGGTAAATTTTAGTTCTGCCGGGTAAGACAGTAGCTTCCACTAGCAACTTTGGCTGGTTGGAAATAATTTTTAAATTGTAGTTTTCTGAAAGCAGGGTTCGACAATAAGGACGGGCCAATATGCAGAAAGCAGGTGAATAGCTTATGAGAGGATAATTACTGTGCGCACACAGGTGATGTGATGGGCGCTCCTGTTTACTTGCGCGACACTGCCGTGCCTAGACGAAACTGTGACTCTTTGAATTAGACTAGACAAATAGTGGTGATCGTGCACCCACAGTCTCTGCTGCTTTTAAGAGCTCAAACTTGGAAAAAAAATAATAAAAAAAAATAAATATATATATATATATATATATATATATATATATATATATATATATATATATATATATATATATATATATATATCCTTTTGTAAGCCGCAGTAGTCACTGCTTTCATTTTAATTATTCTTTGAACGGATTATTAACAAGCCTAACATTAACCATGTTTCCATGTGATCATCCTTTCATTATCACACACGGTATGTTTTTGTTCTAAGGTATGTGTTTATTTTTGTTAAAATTGTTTAAGAATCATCCTATACAATAGCATTGCTTTAATATAAGATTAACTCCCCATTTATGTGAAGCTAACTGGTGATCTGGGACCTTTAGCCAGGTCAGATTACTGTGCATATTTTAGATACATGACAATAATTATTTTTAAATGTCAATTTTTAAAAAAAGAAAAGTTTTGCTGAATAAAAAGTGCATGTAAACAGCTATATTTTGCTTGTTTTGGCACAATTATTTCTTTTTGGTGTGGTCAGAGATAGATTGGGTAAATCTTTAATTTTTTAATTTTTTTAATTTTTTAATTTTAATTTTTTTAAAAAGTCGTGTGAAATAAAAACTAATTGCACTGCGACACAACCCATTTGCTCATGCACATTGAGCGAGCTCATACACAACACACGCAAAAAAAAGTGAAATGAATGAGGAGGCATGTGTACAACACAACATCGAAATCAAGTAATTTCAGCATGTCAAAGTCAAATTTATTCATATAAAATATATTTTCCAAACATCAAAAGTGTGGCTAGTGAAAATGGCAAGTGGCTAGTAACATACTAGCCACAGTGGCTGGTGATCAAAAAAGTAAATATAATAAAAATAGGTAATAATAATAATAATAATAATTATTATTATTATTATTATTATTATTATTATTATTATTATTACTACTACTACTATTATTATTATTATTATTATCATCATCATCATCATCGTTATTATTATTATTATTATTATTATTAAATCACTCCCTATTCTAGCTTGATTTTTTAAATAATGTCTGAAATTTTGTAATTCTAGCAATCTTTATAATAAACACTAATAATGAGCTAGTCTATGACTGTGTTTGCCTGTCCAGTTTATAAGCGTGTTTGTTTTGGAAGTATTTTAGTTTAACTCTTTTTTTTATTGACAATACTCAATCAGAGAGGTATTACAAGTGAAGGAAAGAAAACCCATAATACATTATTCCCACAATGTTGAGGAAAGAAATACTGAGTTGTAATTAAACATTCCTTACTCTCTGAACCATATTGAGATGAAAATAAAAGTAAGTAAACAAGCAACAAACAAACCAAACAATAACAACAAAAAAATACAAACATATAATAATAATAATAATAATAATAATAATAATAATAATAAATTAACAAGTGACACCTAAGTAAGCCATTACCATTAAATGTAAATATTACACAATTTCTTTTCTTAATACACTCTTAGATAAGTTTGTATCATTCAAAAGCAAGAGGGAAAAAAGACAGATACAGACAGGGTTAGATTTGTAAGACGGGATATATAAAATACAACAGGAAAGGTTGCCAAGCTGTATAGAAATCCTCTGTTTTGCCATTAATTGTTTATCTAATTTTCTCTATTTGAATTAACTGCAACAGGTCATACATCCAATGGAAGTAATTTGGCGGAGAAGTTATTTTCCAGTTCATCAGTATACCATAAACCAAAGTTACAAATGAATTACTGCATTACATGCTTAAATCTGAAGCAAAGATGCATGTAAAAATGTAACAAAAACAGTAGTAAGACGGGTTTGATTATGTCATTTATGATGGTTTATGGTTTTTTGGTGGATTGTGTTCACTGCAGATCTCTGATTAGTGGAATGTAGTAGATTAATAGTAGATTTTTTGCAGTAGAACTAGCAGTGCAAATAGGTATTAAAATATATTTGTCAAAACAAAGTAAGAAACCAATGATAAAGCTATTTGTTCATCAATCAATAGATCTATTAAACTTTTGAAAGGGCCACATTAGTTTTCTACAAGCTCCAGACTCTCCAGTGCACCTCCTGGGATCTGAGGTGTTTTTATTCAGCTCACACCCTCAGAGAAGTAGCCATCGAGAGGAAGTGGAGACGCTTGACATGAGGAAGGCATCTGGATTCTAAAAGTCCCCGGGGCTGAAGGTTATGCAGGTCTCTACACCTGAATACTGAGTGTCGGCTAAAAAGGGCACAAAATCCTCCTCCTCCTCACTGCTGTCGTACACTGTTACAATTTTGTTTTTGTTCAGTCTGATGTTATAGATACAGTGGAAGTGTGAATTATTAGCCCACCTGAATTATTAGCCCCCCTGTATAAGTTTTCCCCAATTTCTGTTTAACGGAGAGGCGATTTTTTCAACAAATTTGTAAACATTATAGTTTTAATAAATTATTTCTAATAATTGATTCATTTGATCTTTGCCATTGTCACGATTACCAGCGATCGGATTCCATAAGATCGCTGGTTCTCACTCACCATAACCATGGACTACATAACCGCCATTTCTGGACTACATTTTCATACATGCACTCCGGTCATACTCACACATGCTTCCTCATCTAGACTGATTACTCGCACCACCTGAGGATTGTCAGAGACTGACTGCACACACTACTTCAGCCACACACTTACCTATTCAGTTTGCCGAGTCTTGTTTATCTTAGATGACATTACAACACGTTACTCCTGTGTAGTTTTCCTGTGTTTTCAACCTAGCCTTGTGTTCTCGTTCTCCCTGCCGGCCACCTGCCTCTGACAATCTGCCTGTTATTTTGACTTTGACTCTGGATTGCCCTCCTACATCTGTTTGCCGCTGTATTGACCACTGCTTGCCTGATTACGAATAAACCTGCATTTGGATCTTACCTCAGTTGTTGGTTTCAACTCTCTGTGGTTACAGCCATGATGACAGATACTTGTTTTCAGTTTAAAGTGCAATTTAAAGGCTTAACTAGATTCATTAGCCGAGTTGTTGTAATGATGATTTGTTCTGCAGCCAAACAAAAACATATATTGCTTAAGGGGGATAATAATATTGATCTTAAAATGTTTTTTAAAAATTAAAAACTGCTTTTATTCTAGCTGAAATAAAACAACTAAGACTTACTCTAGAATAAAAAATATTATAGGAAATACTGTGAAAAATTCCTTGCTCTGTTAAACATCATTTGGGTAATATTTGAAAAAGAGAAAAAATTCACAGGAGGCAAATAATTTTGACTTCAACTGTATATATTTGAGGAATATTCAAAACTGAACAACTGCCTCCCTGCAGACTGAATTTATTCAGACCTATAATGAAATATAATGTCAATGTACAGAAGTAGGTGGTTCATTGCACTGTGATGAGACCCCTGATGAATAAAAGGACTAAGCCAAAGAAAAATTAATGAATGCACTTAAGTATTTTTGCCCATATTGACCACAAAGAGATATAAATTCTTTTCTTAAAATTGCTCACCTTTCAGAAAGGGTATTTAACCCTTTCATGACTTTGAGCGTCTAAAAATACAGTAGAAAAATTAAATTATCTATGAATAATAAAAAATTACCTTTGCTAAATATATTTATAAGGGGACACAATGGCTCAGTGGTTAGCACTGTCACCTCACAGCAAGAAGGTCGCTGGTTTGAGTCCCTGGGTCAGTTGACATTTCTGTGTGGTTTGCATGTTCTTTCATGGGTTCCCTCCAGGTACTCCGGTTTACCCCACAGTCCAAAGACATGTGGTATACAGTAGGTGAATTTATTAAGCTAAATTGGACATAGTGCATGTGTTTAAATGAGGGTGTGCGGATGTTTCCCATTACTGGGTTGCAGCTGGAAGGGCCTTCGCTGCGCAAAACATATGCTGGATGAGTTGGCGGTTCATTCCGCTGTGGCGACCCCTGATAAAGCTGAAGGAAAATGAATGAATGAATAAATATATATTTAGGATTTTTCCCCATTTCTCATCACTCTTGGAACTGAATTTTATTAATAAACTGTTAACAAACTATGGACCCTTTTTATATTTATGGGTTTCTCGTCGTAATTGTCATAGTTGGGTAAAATTTACTCAGCGCAGTGAATGGGAGGATACAACAATTTTTTTTTTTTA